TGCCAGTTGGTTCCTCGCCAAGTGCCACCCCAGGACCGTAGCACCAACCCTCGCGCACTTCTGGGCCTCGCGCGCGAGAGCATGAAAATTTTGGTGGGAAAATTACTAACTAGGGAATGAGAAAAACTAGAAGGCTGGAACTTTAGGGTAATGTCCCCTATTCAACAAAAACCTTCAAATTCATCTCCTTAGAACCTCAATGTCTCACATAGGGTATGTGAAAGTTTTGGCAGGAAAACTGCTAATTCGGGTATGAGAAAAGCTGCAATGCTGGAATTTTCAGGGAATGTTTCTTACTGACGTGCGACTAAAAGATTTCAAATTCAACTCTTCTAGTGGCGTTTTTTTTCAACCTTGCATTTCTCGGGTAACTGAAGTTGGCATCTAGAAATAACAAGCCAAGTAGTTGCACAGTTAATTTCTTGAACTTCTAGGGCCAGTAAGTCACAAATTCTAGCTATTGTGATTCCTTGCTACCTTGGTCAGCACGAAATAGTGCAAAAACGCATGATTGCACCAGGTTAGCCGGTGCGATCATGCGTTTTTGCACCGAACTCGCAGATCGTTAACAGCAGGAATGATCCTTGCACTGTAGCCTAACACTTGGGCTCATATTGGCCGTGCTTTGACCTCTTTCGGCATGAAGGAGAAAGAGCGTCGGTTGGGATGAAGGTGTCGCGTTACAGGGCCACATGGACCACCAGGCACATGATTATTAGTTTTCTGCACGAAGTCTGACTGTTTCTTCGGTAAGCGCACGCTTTTTGAAAAAAATGAAAGATGCAGATTTTTGAAAAAGCAAAAACTTCAGTTCTTCACTGAAAAGTGAAAATGTTGCCAGAGCAGTCGTTCGTCAAAAAGTCCAACTATGTGAATGAATTGGATTTTAGAAGATGAGGGCGGTCTTTTGCTACAATATGCAGTCGCTTCTGAGTGAAACCTGCGTAAAAGTTGAGCATAAAAACATGCTCGCACCGGCTAACCTGGCGTGCCTGGCCTGGGTTTATTTTTGAACAAAATTATGTACTGTATTTGAAGAAGTACTCTTTTTTTATAAAAGCTTATCCCTTTCCCGCGTTCTTCTTTCTTCCATCCTTCTCTTCGCTTGACAAAAATAAATTTTGAATGCTCTAGTGCCTTACAATTACTGGGACCTACTTCCATAATGATTAATATTTAATAAGGTCAGTTGTGTAATGAAGCTTACCTCATCATCGATTACAGCAATTATGCCGGTGGCGCCATGATCAGCGAAATATACGAAGATGTTATCCTCGGCTGTGCTTTCCACAACTCGACCATTGCCACCCTTTACTGCGCTTGAGTTCCCAGTTAAGATAGCAATCACATTACTGGGTGTAACATCATCACCTTTATAGTCAATAATGACACCAGGATAAACATTTGGTCCAAACGGCCTATTGAATACCTGGCCAGGATATGGGTTCCTGAAATACATTATATCCAGGAGCTCAGCCAATACCTGGCAAATCCTACGGTGCATTCCTTTGTTGCCAGAAGGTGCAGTGAAATATCACTAATGCTTGATGAAGGTGGTGGCCAACTTTGCTTCGCTTTTCGACACGCACTCTTCGATGCTGAGACTAAAGCGTCAGCACACTCAAGATCTACTAGCTTTCTGTAACTAATCCAGGTTTTCATTCACTTAATTAGCCATCAGTTTTCTGACGATTTGCTAAATCGTTAGCGCCATTAGTTCACCGCTGTTCGGCAAGGCCAATGTATGACAAGTGTTACTTCTGCCATTGTGACAGTATTCAAGGTTCCGTCTAATTTTTTATAGAAAAGAATAGAGGTTTTTTTAGCAGGAATGATTAATACAATTCAGTTTGACTATTACTGTAAATTTTCTTGGGCGAATCGGTGAATTAATTTATTTTTTATAGCATCATAATGATTCGTCTAGGTGACAACGTAGTTTTATATACAGTTTTTTACTCTTGCCAAAATTTCACAAAATTCGTTCCAAAAAAATTCCTGCTCAGCTGCTGAATTTGGCGTACGTAAAGGTCAAAACTCCTTCCAGCAATTATTTTTTTTGGGAGCCGGAAGCACTCGAAATAATCCATATAGCACGAGTGACTTTCTCTTCCGAGGGTGGCTTAGAAGCAAGCTGATGGCATTTTCATCCCCAACATGTTCCAATGCCAGTTTACCATCGAAACGAATAAGCGAATCGTAGAAAGGATTGGCTGTCCTACTGATGGATCAAGCTTTCGATGTTAAACCTGAGAATAGCACAGCTCGACGTTGAGAATGGCATAAGCTCTTGGTGCTAAGCTGTGACTTACCACAGTGCCATTTTCGCTAGCATAGCATGTAAGCTATAGAGGGTTTGTAAAAAATAAATAACAGGGAGAAAAATCAACGAAACTTACGCGGGGTTGTAAGCAATATCATCGTACGCCATGGTGATGATATGGTCGGCTGGAATTCCGTGTTCAATAGCTATGTGGTAAGCATGAAAGATGTCGGCCTGAAAAGGACTTAATTTTTACCGTTTCGATAATGTTCGCCAACAGCAGCGGATACAGAACTAAGGAACTCTCAAAATGAAGAAAGTAGGGAGATTGTTGCTGTTATTCGCAAAATATAATACAAGTTCGCTGAGGAGAGAAGAAATGAATTAAATGAAGAAACTGCTCATTCAATATTTTTTGGAAAATATTGTTTATAAATGT